AGTACAAAAGCCATGTGTGTGATTCGGTTTTTTTTTCGTTGCAAAGCACAAAAACACAGCATATATCATTGGTTTTATTCTTTCGAATAGAACTTTTAATAAAACATTTGTTCTAGAGAAAGTTAAATTCTTTTCTTTTCTTTTCTTTTCTGAAAAAATAAAATAACAATATCAACATTCAACTTTGTTTTTTGATAAGTTATATTTAAAGATCAGTGAGTGAAAGTAAATAATGTGAATAATTAAATAATTAAACATATATATATAAGTGTTCTTTTTTAATAGTAATGGACCTGTGATGGGTGATAATAAGCACTAGCTTGTGCTTGTGTATAGTTCGCCTAGAATAATATATATATATAGATATATACATATACACGCAGCAATGTGGACTAATTCAATCATGTGAAAAATATATAAATAAATATATAAAATCAAATTTGAAAAACTAATTTTTGATAAAATAAATGTGATTCTAATGATTTAGAAAAATGAAAACAACAAACAATACCAATTTCTTGCGTAGCTGAACTAGTCGAGTCATAGAATAATATGTTCGCGAAAGTAGTTATTGAATTCAAAGAAAAAAAATATATATATGAATAGAAATTAAATACATACCTTTTCTTTTTCAAGTTGTTCACAACGACGTAATGTTTGTTCGAGTACAACTTGTACACGTTCAAGTTGAAGTGTTGCAGCCGTAACACGTTCACATACATCTTCATATTTTATTTTAAGTGACATTAATTCATTTTCAAGTTGAGCAGAACGTTGACGTTCATTTTCTAATTCACTTGAATCATTTCCAATAAGACTTGAATCATACTAAAATTTAATTTTTCGTTAAAACAATATTCAACTCATTAGATTTGAAAAATCAATTTTGTGTCTTGAAAAATTATTGTACGCGATAGAATCATGTCTGATATATACATACTGTACTGAATAAAAGTAGAAAACCCTACACCACGTAACTGAAGCGATATTGTTCTTCATTATTTTAAGCTGATATTGTTAGTATACACGGACATCAGTAAATCTTGGTTGCAGGTATTATTCCTAAATTTTGTGCTTATTTCACCTGCCTTAGAGCATTTGATAGCTAAAGGTCGAAAGTTAGAATTTTTATTAATCACAGATTTCATTCTCACTGTTCTGTTCTATACATGCGTGCTGTAAAACATTCTATGGATCAGAACTTAGAAAAAGATTTTCACTTAGAATTTATAACTATCAACATTTAGAAACTTTACCTTAGACAAGTGAAGTGTCCTCCGACTGTTCAATCGCTTTTAAGTCTAGTACATGTTCATTGTGTAGATTTAATGAGCTTTGAATATTCCGAAAGAAGTTCGTGTCCTTAGCTTATTACTACGAAGATACTGCACTTTTACACTGCTTTTTAAACGAATCTTGTTGTCTCCCTCAGGAATATGAGAAAGAATGGTTTTCGAAATTCAAGTTGAAACTTTGCATAGACATATGTCTTAATGAAAATAATCTATTATGAATATTTCAGATTTTGTCGTTGTTCCTATCTTAAGATACAACTATAGTAATAGTGTGTCTCTTTTATCACTCATATAAACCAGCAGGTTTTGATGTTCTTATTTCAGAATAGAAGCGACCAAAAGACCGAAAAATTTCACAATTAACTACTCTTGCTGTGTGCAAAGTTTCAAGTCGAAAATGACTTTTCTAGTGTTCTCGAGGAGATCACAGCTTTTAATTGAAGGAAAAGAACTCTTTTCAAGTTACTCATAGCTTGTTTGAATCTACATAATGCACATAGTCTTAACTCAAAAGCAATTGGACAGTTTTCTTTGTTCAAAGACTGCTCCATACCGTCAAGATCCAACTGATTGACAAACTGTGTCGTGACGAACTCGTCTTGTAATTATGTATCAGCTCCATTTAGCATTACGGAGCCGAGATTTTTTAGCATGGACTTGAGATTTATGACAACTCTTTCCTGAAAATGTCAAGTGAATCAATCGAGATAGTCTTCATTATGGGTGAAATTGACTGTAGACTATTGTTTTCTGTTCGACAGAACTTCTTAATGCGAAGACTTTATCTCAATCATTTTTAAAGTTCTTTCTCGCCAAATTTTTACAAGAGATAACTGTGACATTGGGCTTTCAAATGAGGATCCGTATAAAAGCACAGATGTCAATTTAGTCAAGATATAGTTGTGGTAAGATGAAGATAATGTTCAATCTCGAATTTTAATCGATTGATGACGAGTTGATGTTTATGAGCAAAGTTCATTGTGGCTGACATGCAATAAACATATCACCGGAAAATCATAAAAAACCATATCACTTCAAGAGGAGAGTAGTTATTTTTGTCCAACTGTGTATATGAATTATGTGTTTTAAAAATATTTCAAGATTCTACCTAAAAAATTTACGCCTAATAAACTAATATTTAATAAAAAAAATTATTCAAATGTTAAGTTTATCGTTTGAATAATATTCATTCTTTTATTTTGCAAAAAGTAAAATTATCAATCAACCTCATAAAATCTTCTCAGTAGACTTTAAAATAAGTATCGACTATCCTTTTGAAAAAAAAAGCTCAATGAGTTTTACATCAAACGAACAATTTCAGTTCGCATTCATTCAAGTCAATCAATCTTCTAGGCATCAATACTTACTGAATCTCGTTCTAATAAAGATCGTTCATTTAATTGTTTTCTTGCACTATCTAATTCATATTTAAGTTTATTCGAATATTCAGCTAAATCACCATATTGTTCACGTAATGTTAAAATTTCATTTTCAAGTCGAATAACATTTGGCTAATAAAATAAAAATTTATCCATAAAAATAAACTTATATTTTTCTTACATCTGCATCTTGATATTGTCTTTCATGACTAAAATGAAAGAAAAAACATAATTAATCGACAATATTCACTTTTTGTTTAATATATACTTTGATGTTTGCATATCATCTGTAAATTCAATAGGTGCTTGTTTAATAGCTTCATCTAATCGTTCATTACATGTAACAATATGTTGACGTAAAACATCACATTTTAATTTAAGTCTTTCAATGTTAAATTTAACAGTTTCATCAGAATTTTCAAACTAAGAAAAACAAAAATCTTGAAGTTTTTTAAAGTGTAATAATTAAACTTGTTACTCGTTGTTCAAGTTCTGTAAGCTTTTTTTCTGTTAATCCAAGTTCATGACGAACACGACTTATTTCACGTTCAAGTGAACGTTGTTCAATAACACTAAATAATTGTGTTACATCAAGATTTGATGCACGTTGAGATTTATCCATCTAAGTATCCAAAAACAAACAAAAAATGAATAAAAACAATCAAAAGAAAAAAAACAAAATTTTGTTGTTTTAAATAAATTTCTGAGTTTGCTCAAAAATAGAACAATCGATTCTTATTTCGGATATGGTTCTTTATTGAGCAACGTGCAAAAACAAAATAACATACAAATCTTATTTCTACACTTACTTCTCTTTTTGAATTATTACTCTAGAATTTAGTAGGTTTTGTTTTTATATCATCGATATTTTTTTTTTCTTTTCTTTTATAGATAAATTAAATCTTACTAAATATTTTAGAAGATCATTTTCTTCTTGTTGAGAAGCAAATTTTAATTGAAGTTCTTGTATTTTTGCATCGGATTGTCGCATTTGTTCAATGGCTACTTGAATTATTGATGATTTTGTTGATCCACCATATTGATCTAATTTTTCATTAAGTAATGTAAATGTATATTCAAGTTTAGCACGAAGAGTTTCTAATTGACGTTGTAATTCAACATTTTGTTGCATAAATTTTTGTGCAACAAGATCTTGATTTCCTAGAAAATATATTATCAATATAATTATTTCTTTTCTATGAAATATCATTCGAATAGTTTGAATTATAGATATATACAAATATTGGACCAGTCTGATCCTGTATTAACTACTCAATATATCATTTTACATAGCATGAAAAACTACGCACTATGAATTCTCACATTGAGTTTATAAAAGAAAAACTAACGACTACCATAGTTATTATCGAAAACGAGCAAAATTGTTAGATTTCCTAAGACTATTTAGTACATAAACATTTTGTTTTGCATTCAACAGATGAAAAATTAAATAGGCATAAATGTGCAGAATTTCATGCTCTATCTTTCTATTCTATTGACGGTGAGAGCAAAGGGAATGGTAGATTTATAATCTTATCCGATGATATTCTTTGTCTAATATGAACTTATTTTAATAAAATATTTAATACCTGATGACTGTGTAAGATCACTAACACGATCTGTATATTCTGTTGGTGGTGGACAAGTTTGATCAATAATATGAATCAATCGACTAATTTGTTCATTTTTTTCCATAACAAGTTTATCTAATTGTCTATGAAATTCAGTTTCAAGAAAATGATTTTGATTTTCAAGCATTATTGTTTGTTCACGAAGATATTGAACATCACGATCGGCATAATTAATCATTTCCCGTATATGCTACAAATACCAACAAGAGTAAAAAAGAAGATTATAAGATAAATTTTTATTGAAAAACAAAAATCTTTAATCAAACCTTCATTCCACCTAAAAAATCTTCATCATCTAAATTAAGATCTTGTAATAAATGTCTATAACGTTGTAATATTGATATCATTGTTTGTCCTTTTAACCATAATTTCATAATTATTTCACGTTCTTGACCTTCATGTAAATGAAATTCACGTTCAATAGCATTCAATACATCTTGATAGGACAGAAGACCCTAGAGGAAAAAAACGCCCAAAAAAGATTTTCTAGTTTTTTCTAATACAAAGACCTTGAAATAACATCGATTATTTAAGATTTACTTGTATAGTAAAAAAACAATAATTATTCATAGTTGTTAATAGGTATTTATTCTTACACTTATATGTCTTCATACTTTATCATTAATATGAGTAAAAAGAAAACTTTTTAAAGTATGTTAAAGAAAAAACAAAAGAAGAAAAGTTTTTTTTTTTTTCTTGTTTATACATACTTTTAAACTAACCGACGATGGATACACAACAACTTCACTTGTTTCAGATGAACGAGGTGACATAGAAGTTTTTGGAGGTGGAGGTGGAGATTGAACGGAATGCATTGTTGATGTAACTAGTGGAGGAGATAATGGTGTTGAAATTAAACTTAATACACCTTTTTCATCTGGTATTGATGTTTGAGATTGTGGTGAGATAAATGGATTTTGTTGAATTAATCTGTGCATAGTTGGTAATGATATTTTGATATTTGCAATGATAGTATTTAATTCATCATAGTCTTCCTGAGTCGCCTATATAATGAAAATATAAATAAATATTAAAGATTTGTCAATTTTTACTTGTTTTGGAGATGTAGTTGGTAATGAATGCTGAACTGAAATAGGATATATATATATATATATATGTAAATATAAAGAAACGGTACATAAAATAAAATGTGTTTTTTTTTATGAATAGAATATTACCATCGGATGTTGTTCTTGTACGTTTGATAAATTTCGTATCTTGATAATGTGATTGACTATCAATGATCAAACCCTGAAGTGAATCGAAACAGAATAATGTTGGTTAAGAATATGAAAAGAAAAAAATCAATAGCGAAATGTAACTCAAACATGTACACAAAATATGAAGATTGTATGAGTTTGCGGTATTTATGACATTGACAGCCGCAAACATCTCAACAAAATCGATGCGAGCTTTTTTTATCGTTATTTTATTTTATAAGAAAAGAGAAACGAGATTTTTCCTATTAGCAAACCACAAAATAGACTGACTGAAATGAAGCATAATATGGCACGAGAAATAATTTACATTTGCAAGAAGAGACCCCATCTAAACAAAAGTAAAAGAGAACGTAAAAGATAGAAACAACATACTTCAAACTCATTTTGTCTTCATTAAACGAGAAAGAAAAATAAGCAAAGTAAAACAAAAAGAAACAACGATGACGAAGAAGAAGAAAAAAATGCAAAAGACGAAATGATTTAATTGATCGAAAACTTATGTACCTGTTGTGAGTGATGATCGGTATTATCGTTTGAAAAATTTCTTTGAGATGTTTTATGATGTTTCTTTTTCGTTTTTTTCTGCTTATTGATACGTCGATGTGTTGATGCTAAAAATAATCAAGACAAAAGCAAAATAATTATATAATCATTAATGATGCATTTCATCGACGCTCTTTTTTTTATTATTATTCATAGAAATAGTCTCGTATGACTTTAGAATAAATGTTTCTAGGTTTTCTTTCGCCAAAACATAAGATGGTATGCATCATCAAGTGTTATATATATATATAAAGAACTGACTCGAACTTAAACGATTCCTTTTGTATATGCATATATAAGCGACCAATTTTAAAAATACATCAATATTACTACCGTTTTTCTTCATCTCTCACATCATCTCTCTCACTCTCTCTCTCTCTCTCTCTTTCTCTTCGAGTGATATTAAGTCAAAGAAAAACGAAGTCAACAAGGTGCGTCGACGGTAACGAAAGGTATTATTTGTTCATCAAGACACATTCTTTCGATGGTTATATGCTGAGAGGAAAAAGAAGAGAGAAAAATCAGAAGTGCATACACATCTGCAGGACATAAAAAAAGTCAAGAATGAAGAAGATTATACAATTTAATGGTTACCCTTCGATACTGATACTATGGTTTTCTTTCTACATTTTAAAAAAAATTTCAATCATGCTTGACCTTAATATAATAAGATAAGAAAAAGAAAAGATGATCAATTACTTACTTATAATGAACGAAAATTAATACACTTACGTAGACACTTGTTAATAAAGGTCATCTAATATGTTAAACGAAAGTTGAAAGTTTAAGGGATTTTTATTTCTTTGAGTGAATAAGTAAAATTTTAAGAACGATAGACAACGTATACAATTATGAATTCAACGAAGTTTTTTTCTCTCTTTCACAAATTGAACAATTAGTGAAATGTGTAAAAGATTTTCTTTTTTTGTCATACTGTTCTTTCTTTAAAAAAAGCAGTATAATATGTTATCTTTTCCTACAACTCTCAAAGTATTTCGTTTGACAATGTCAAAATTGAATTGTTTGACGAATGATTTATAACAAGAACAATGAAAAGTGTATTTATTTCAAGGAGAGATGAAAAAATTCTTGTAAAACATCCTTTTAATATTCGTTTTCTTAAAATATGATTTGGAAAGATTAACAGTAGTTAGTTTGAATCTATGTTTAAAGAAATTTATCATCAACTATTAAAAATGTTTTAACAATGAATTAATTTTCGAGCAGTATTTCAATGATGAATATGAAATTTTCATTCGTTATAACAATGAATATTTGAAAACCTCGCATTGCTTGATTTTTTTATTATTCTTGGAACAAAAAAAAATTGTTGAATATTTTATTCAAGAATTTTTCAAATCATTGTTTAAATTTTGTTTGCAACATAAAAGCAAAACATAACTTAGAATATTCTAAACGAACCTATCAGTTCAATATGTGATTTAAGTACACCCATAAGAGCATCTAATTTAAAACGATTCATAGATATTAATTATAAGAAGAAAATACCAACCATTGACTTCATAAAAGGCAGATGATGATGGACGTTCATTTAATCTTTCAATTACATCATCACTCTCACTAGTGTCATCGTCATCATCATCATCATCATCATCATCACCATCATCATCATCATTGTCTGACGAATGAGGAAAAGATCTTGTAGCTGGATTTTGGTATTGTTGACGTCGTCTTTGAATAGGTGAAGATATTGAACCATCTTGGCCAGTTACAGCTCTAGTAAAAACAGGTGAAGGTGATGACGAAGAAGCCATATTTAATTAAAAATATCGATCTAAAATCATAATAAATAAAATAAAATAAAATCTATTTTATGAGAATGAATTCTCTATTGACAGAAGAAGTATACATGCACTACACTATTGACTATCTAATACATTCTAATAAAAGCTAGAGGTAAATATTTGTGTAATGGAAGAGTAAAAGATTTATCATGCAAGATTTACGATACTGTGACATTTATTTGTTTATTTATTTATATTGTTTCTTACATTATCATTGTTTTGTCATATGACATAATAATAGATGAAATTGTTTTCTTTCTTTTTATCATGAATAATAAGATAAGATAAAGCAAATATTTTTCATACATTGAAATCCTTAATTAAAAGAAAGACATTCGAATATGGTTGTCATATATTTTAAAAGCCAATATTAATAAGATCTTGGCTCCTTTTTTTTAATTGATGGATATAGAATTAATAGAATCTTGATTATTTATTGAAAAGGAAATGATAGATTTTTGTTTTATTTTATTAATATTATGTTTCACGCGAAATAAGGTTTCTAACAACTGATATATGAACCATTGATTGATTTATTCAAATAGGCATGATCAAAAAAGTTTCATTTTGATATGAAAGTGATCATTTTATATAGGTTTCGTTCATGTACTCTTTTCAAAGCATTTGATACCATAAAAAGGTACAATGTGCTCATATTTGACTGAATTTCAAAATTCTATTTTTAATTATAACATGTGATACATATTAACGCTTTAATCATAATAGACAATGTTATAAAAATGATTTCAGTACTTGTCTAAATGATCTATATTGTAGAACATATTGTTCTATTCGAAGCGATGTTCATTAAATATTTGGTATTGCCATAAAAAAAGATTTTCATACAATATATTAGTGAGCAAAACTGTTAAAATGGCTATTTGTGAGTAGTTGTGCACTCAAATCGTTTGGATCGTTTTTGTTTGAATGAAGAAAAATGCTTCCTAATCTACTGAGCCACGTAACACAACCTTTTTCCATTGGTAGAAAAATTTCAGTCACCTACCGATTTTTTATTAAATCAAACGACTCATTAAATTATTCTTTGTTTAGTTGTTCGAGGCTAAAAGTCTTCTACATTTGCGGCGTGACAGTTTATTGTATACACCTACAGATGAGCCTAACATGAAGAAGATATTAAAGAATACAAGAAAATAGTTTTAGTTAAATAAATTCACAGTCACATAAAAAATTGAACAGAACTTTTGCACGCTTGAAGTATAAGCCTCTTGTTATTACACAAAAAAATCAAAAGTAGTTGTAGTAATTTTTTATCAAGGAGTTCATATTTAATATGTTTCTTTAGTTTTGCGTGTGGCTATAGGCGTTTATCTTCTCTTGACTCACACCGACACCTACATCAGCATTCAAACTTAATACTAGCTGAACAATTACAAACCGGACTTGTGAAACTAAAAAAATATATAAAATATGAACTTTTGGTTGAGCAATTACAACAACTATTCTAGTTTCTTGTTTTTATTTGATACCTAGAGACTTATATTTCAAATGCGCAACAGCTTTGTTCAATTTTTCATGTGAATGTGAGCTTATTCAAATAACATTATTTTCCTGTATTCTTTAATCTTTATTTATGTCTGGCTCAAATGTCATGAGCTTATATATCGTGTCACTAGTTTATTTATATAGTTCATAATCAATCAGATAAGTTTGAAATATTCAAAATTTGCCATTGGGCTTGGATTAGTGCCCGATGTGAATGCAACCAAAATATGGCCGCGAGCAGTCATGAATACTAAAATAGTCATATATTCCGTGTCTGTGTTGATTGTATTTGGTTTTTCCACAACACAAATAATGTCATATTCATAACTCATGATGATAATTTATTCATTTTTTCTGAATCAAAACAACTTGACATAAGTGTTATAGAAGAAAATAAAATTCACGAAAATTTAAAAATTTTCCTGAATTCTAATTTTTTCTGCGACACAAACATCACAATAAGCCAAAACATAATAAAAGTACATATTTTGCTACAGATACAATTAAACAAAAATACATATATATTTATGTTATTATTCCATTAAATCAAACCAAATTAAGTATTTTTATTTGTTTTTGCCTTTATCTAACTTTTAGCATAAAAAACATCATTCAAGAAAACACATTGCAACTCATGATAAGTTAAAAAGAATTTGAACAATAGGGACGGCGCGAATTCATTGATTTTTAGAGATTTAGGCTACATACTTCTCTCATTTTGTGTATACTATCAGAGTTCTATTTTTTTCTAATAGCAGAAGTTGGTAGACTTTCTTTCTTTAATGTCGAAATATTTGAACTTTACCTTTCTTCGATTTTGTGACAACTTTATATCAATAAAACTGTTTCTCACCAATGAAATAAAGATTGAAATTACCCAAAAACTTAATTATTATTTACGATAAACTGAGATCTATGTATATGTACTGAAGGTGGACAATGTTGATAAGGAGCCGTGAATTGAAATTTTTCATTGTAAACTAAAATCCTCATTATATCTTGTCTTTCACAGAATTAAAAATGGAATTTCTTCATTTTTTAATAATCTGAGATAAAAGTTTATTGAAGCCTAGTGATTGGCTTTGCCATACCTATGCAAATTTTCGAGTCTTTCTTTTAATATTAACAATACAATTCATAGAAAAGAATCAACTGGTCTTTAGAATGTTTTTTCTTTTATCTTCTTTTTTTTTTGAATTTAATATTAAAATATCATTATAAAATCTTACATTATTCAATAAATATCTTGTCATTGAAATCATTGAATTTGTTCGTTCGCTTATTATTTCTTGCCTTGAATCATCACCAATAATTGATAGATAAACATATCTTTGTTATCTGAAGTATTGTACATAGTTTCATTTATTTGATGTTTGTCAAACTGTGATAACCAAATATAATATCGTGAATATCTTTTTAATATGTTAACAATTAAAACAATATGCAAAGCACACAATATTCAATAGTGAATACACTCAAATTGTTAGAATAAGAAGAAGATAGAAACACAACGAACAACATATTTTTATGTTTTATTTCGCCCATTTAAAAACATACACAAAATACGAAAAAACTACAGTGACAAATAAGAAATGTTATCCTATGGAACGGAAAACAAAAACAAAAGAATTTAATTATATAAGTATTTTATTATTTTCTTCTATGATGAACGATGACCATCGACAGTTGTTGTTCGTGCATGACTATCATAAGGATGATTACGATGATCATTATAGATTTTCATTTGTCGATCGATCATTTGTTGACCACAATGTGATGCAATAATTTGCATTAATTCTGGACAATTTTGTTTTGTTGCAACATCAATAACACTTTCTTTTCTATCGTTCACCCATGTTACTTCACCTCCATTTCTTGAAAAAGAAAGATTTCATTTTGTTTTTGTGTTTCCGTACCAAAATAAAACTTACTTTAGAAGAATTTTAAATGGTTCAATACCATCGTATCCAAGGAAACAACATTCATGCAAAGCTGTATTACCTTTTCTGAAAACGAAAAAACATCGAACAAAGATTTACTATACTAAAAAAACAAGTCTCATCACGAAATTCGATAAAATATCAATAGAAATGTTTTGAACGAGCGAAGAAAGTTTTTAATTTCTATTCAATTAAACCTTGAATTTAATCATTGATTCTTTACAATCATATTCAATTTCTTAAGTAGCATCATTCTACAATTAATGGTAATCGATCGTATAACAGTTCTTTTGATGTATGTGTAGTCTATGCTACAATATTAGTAAAAGAATATCTTGTTAGTTGAAACTTTCGATAGTTTTCTTTTCGACTTTTCTACATCCAAAGCGCAATTCAAAATCACTCAATCAAATATATATCTCATCAGTAATTTTATGTAAAATTGCAAAGCACTTGTTCAATCAGACATCTTCTTAAAACTTTTCAGTCTTCGATAAATATTTTGAACGAAATATTTTTATATAGTTTTTTAGTAGAGATTAACAAGAAAGATATCGAGTCTTTCCAATGAGTTGCTGTTAATTACAATCATATTACTTACGGTCCTCTTATATCTAATTTAGCTTTTCCATCTTTAATAAGTGTTTCTAAACATTCATTATGACGATTACGTACAGCCAATTGCAGAACAGTATAACCTTCCTTATTACGTAAATTAGCATCAGCACCTTCATTTAATAATTGTTTTACTTCTTGTAATATGTCAATATGAATTGATGACCTTTTATTTTCATCACCACTTTTTCTTTCAAGTAATTTAAGTAAGGCACGATTTGGTTGCTAGAAATATCAATAAATAAAACAAAACAAAAAAAACAGAATAATTCAAGCATGCATAAAAACTATAATATTTAATCTTACACTCTCATTACCAGCAGCACTAGCTGATTGTGGTCGTTTTCTAGGACGTTTTTTAGTTTTTTTTGATTGAGTTTTTTCTCTAGTATATTCATCTATATAATAATAATAAATAAATAAAAATCAATATGATGAAATGTAAATGCATACCATCGGAATTAAATGTACTAGAAAATGTTGAACTTCGTTCACTATTCATTGCATATTGTCCATTGGTTTCATCAATATAGAAAGCTGATTGTGAAAGATTTTCTGGTTTACGAAATACAGCTTGAATTGTTACTTGATATTCATTTTCATGTACTGTTGCATGAATCATTTTACTCATACGAGGTTCGCCTATGTAAATTTATGAAAAAAAAAGAAACATAAATAATTTATCTTTATTTCATATTAAATAACTTATAGACAAATATGGATAATTTCGTTGGCATAACTATTGACCTTTTATAATAAAAATTCTCTAAGTAGTGATCTAACCTATAGCGCGAAAGTCGTAATACAAAGTGTTTACTTATTTTCGGGCCACTTAAAGACAATTGCTATCAAGTCGTTTCAAGCGGTACAAAAAAGTCACTATATAGAATACTATTGTGGTCAATTGTA